ACTCCATTGAAAAATCTTTATATACATTAAACCTTACTTTCTATATAGTGCAGAAAATTTTAAAAAGCCTCAATAATTCACTGTCCATAATAGGCATCATTATCTTAAAGATACTCTAAGGATATGGCAATAATAGTTCTAGATAATATACCAATAGATATTCAAAACACTTTAACATCAGTTACATTGAAAGAATAATAGCTTGTTCACTTACAAATTTGTTAGCAAGCAAGTGGTCATTGATTTTGTCATAAAGTTGCTATAGACCACATTTTAAGTAGACTTATTTTAAAGAGAAAAATAATACATGGAAATAAAGCATGCATAGTTAAAGAAAATCTTCATTATGTCTTTAATAATGGTATTACTGTATGAGAATTATAAATAGCAAAAGTTTGTGTGACAGTTGAGCTAGTAGAATTAATTAAATTCTGGCTTCCCTAATTAAGTGAAGATATGTTTATATGAAAAATATCAAAAGTGTTTTTTTACCTAAAATCCATGCAGTTTATTCTACAAATAACTAAATGTCGAAGAGAGATTTTTAAATCATAGAAGCAGTAGAAGAGAATGTTTTAAATTAGGTAAAAAATTGAAAATAATAGTATGTCACTCATTTTTGTGAACTAGCATTATTTATACCATCCATCATGATTTCAAAAACTTAAGTGATATTGGGTCTTTCTAGAACAAAGGAAAATTAGGACTGTCCTAAGGATGAACTAACTATAAATATGGGAAAACATAGAAAGGTTAATATTAGTGTGGCTTTTTATATAAGCTCATATTTAACTCATGAAAATAAGGGTACCTATCTTCAAAATAATAATGCCCAATATAAATCTTAATTGGATAATTGAAAATGAAAAATGGTAATTCCTATGTTCTTAAAGTTTCTTTAGATTAATGCTTATTTGGCGATGAAGATAATTCTCCCTTCAGTAGGGTTAATAAGATAGAGACTCTGAGATCAACCAAATAGGAATCCTTAGGATAGTCATCATTATGTTCTAAAGAACACTCTAAAGCCACATATCAGTTGTTCTGACTTATTGAGTTTTTAATAGTATAATGAGTTATGAAAAATTAAATATAGTCAGAAGATACAAATGATAGAGAAATATGGATAAAGACAGAGTTTTACCTGAGAGAAAATTTTCATTAATTCCAATACTTTTATAACTCCTGGGAAAATTTTTGTATTAATTTGTATTTTATTTGCTAATAAAAGTTGAAATCTTGGGGCTGAGGAAGTAACTCAGAAAGCCCACCTAGCATGTTTAAGATCCTATGTTCAGTACACAGCACTGGGTGGGGGGAAGTAAAAATCATATCTTTGTATTATATTTAAGAGAAAACTTTCATTCTACTCCGTAAGATTATATTTCTTTAAGGTCTTTGTTATTCTTAAGGAGCAACTGGTTCTGTCTAAGGGTAGAGGAATTCATTGAGATTTTTATCTTAAACAGATAAAAAATTCCTTTAAGGGGCTGGGGCTGTAGCTCAGTGGTAGAGTGCTTGCCTAGCACAGGTGAGGCACTGGGTTCGATCCTCAGCACCACATATAAATAAATAAATAAAGTTATAAAAAATTCCTTTAATTATGTAGAGATTTGGTGGTCTAATAGGCCTGGACATTCATGCAAGAGCCTTCCTTTGTTTTGTTTAGAAGGAAACTTTGCTTTCAGTGGGAAAGTACAAAAATAAAATAAACTAGAAGTAACTAGATACCATTAACTTTCACAAACTTTGTACTTGCTAAGCTATTTTTTAAAAGGTGAAGTTTATTATTTAGTAGTGCTTTGCTGCCCTTAGTAATTGTAAAGCTTTCTTTTAAGTTTTTGTTTTATTTTTTAATATAGTAATTTTGAATCAACACTGATAAGCTAAGGATAAACTTTCAGATATATTCTAGGTTCTCTAAAAAACAAGTGTCAGAATCACAAAACATTTAAATTAAAAGCAAAGAATGCAAGTGCTTCACTTATGTTATAAATAATCTCATAATAATTTCACTTAAATTGAATCTGTTAGTCAGAAAAAGAGAATTAGTTAAAACTACATTTTATGACCTACATATTCTGAATATTTTGATCTGTTTTCCCATAAAACTTGCATATGGTGTCACATCCACTTATAACAAGAAAAAATGAAATTTTGTCCTAAGAAATTTTTGACAAACATGACTTTTTACAAGAGTAAGATATTTACTTTGATGAGATGTAAGATTTTTTCCCTTTATTTCATTTAGTAGTATGTTAATTTTAGTTGTAAGTAATCATCTCTTCTCTTTCTCATGGATCACATTTGAAAGGATTTTATGCAACTATTAAAGTTCACACTTATTGTTAAATTTACTAGGGCCAATAATAGCTTTGGGAAGAGTTTAGTTACAGAATTGTTTTTGAATAAAGAATGATGTTTTCTAACTGACAACACCTTTGAGATAGTGGGTCTACATATGACTTGAAAGATTTGTGACTGGACAATATCAATTTATGACTCTTCATGAGGAACAACTGTTGAAAAGAGAGACTTTATTAGAGAAACATTTCTTTCTGAAGGGGATTACAAATCCAATTCACAATAGACCAATTTTTGTTTTGTTCTGTGGAAAAATCTAACCCTAAGTGATATGGCAACCATAGCAAACTGCAAATAGGCTCTCACGTCTAAATTTTAAGCTTATGAATTAATTCAAGGTAAACAGTATATTCAAATTCATTTTTGCAAAAAATTTTATGCATATAGGAGACATTTAATAGATATTTGTAAATTGAACTAAAAACACTTTATACTGCCTTTGCTTAGCATTATAAAAATTTGAAAAAATTGAAAATGTTGATCATAAAATAAAAAGCGCTTCACTTATATTATAAATAATCTCATAATAATTTCACTTAATAAATGACTATAGTGCTGGATATTCTGATGGAACAACATTATTAATTTTACCTTTTGGAGGTTTCATATAAAAAGCATATAAACTTTTTCATTAAGTGTGAAACATGAGTTTCTTGTATTTTGTGAAATTTGAGCTTGAAAAATTTAAGATGATCATACTAAAAGAAGTATGACACACCTGCTTCAAATCTTTTTTGTATTTTTTTTTTTTTGGTGGTGCTGGGGATTGAACCCAACACTCTACCAACTGAGCTATATCCCTAGCCCCTAAATATCTTTTCTATATAAAGACATAGACACCACCTGTGAGTTAATAATCAGAGCTCTTGATTTGTGAAATATTAATTTCTTTTTGTGGTTACTAGGGATTGAACCCAGGGCCTTTCACTTGCTAGGCAAATGTTCCATTACTGAACTATACCCCAGCCTCTAATTTTTTTAAAATTAATATTAAACTTCCTTAGCAAAAACTACAGAAAAGGAACATCATAATTCATTTCAAAATTACTTCCCAGCATACTTAATTTTCAGCTAAGGCAAAGCCAGAACCCATACCCTCTGTGAATGCAAGTGTTCCCCTTTGTGTGATAAGATCTAACATATTAGAAGCATATTTTTTGCAACCTTTTCTAATCTTCATCCTTTTTTAAGGCGATCTATAAGACCTTTTTAGATTTTCTGTGACTCTGATTCTGATAAGGATCCAGGATGTAGTGATAGAAGTGGAGAGTGGATGAGACAAGATGAGCAATTAAAAAGAAGAAAGAGAGGCTGAAAAATAGTGTTATATAACTTAATAAATGAATAGAAAAATTATAGTATGGATGAAAATTTTAAGAAATTTAACTGACTGCTTTTTAGAGCAGAAATGTAATATAGAAAGTTATCAAAACAGATTTTTAGGAAATGTGTTTGGATGATATGTAATGTAATTTATTTTCCACTATCACTTTTTTAATGAACTTCTGTAAAGACTTTGCTATTTAAGAACTGGATCTGGATTTGTTTTTTATTCATGGACTGAGATCAGCATTAAATTTATAACTGGAAGCTGCTTTATTCAGATTATAGCTTAATAGATTTTTAAGGATTAATGCATTGTGAAATAAGTCTTTTTTGTTATGGCATGCATAACTTATTTATTGATAGTTATTATATAACTCTGAAAATCTACTGAAATTCTGGATTCCCATTAGGCCGAAATTTATAATTTCTGATTGCATGTTTTCATAAATACCAGTTTTAAACCTTTATTTTATTTATTTGTTTTTTTATGTGGTACTGAGGATCAAACCCAGGGCCTCATCCTTGCTGGGCAAGCACACTACCACTTAGCTACAACCCTAGCCCTTCTGATTGCATTTTTAGTTTAATTATTTAAATGCCTCATCTACCTACTTGATTGTACATTATTTTTACATTTTTTCCCAAATATGTCTTATACCATGAGATAATAAGTTGACTATAGATTGAAAATTGACTACCCAGAAAATAAAATATAAATGGCTTCTTCAACTTTCTGACTTTCAAAATTATAAACTCCTTCAATACACAGACTAGAAAATTTTGTAAAGGCAGGTACATGAATTTTTATGCATGTTTTAGTTATCAAAAATTATTCCTGAAGACTTGTGATTTATGGAAGTTACTCATTTACTTTTATAAAGTCTATACTTATACATATTAAGGAAGTTTAATTATTGAATATGTGCACCAGTAAATCTTGAAATGTTTCATGTAAAATTTCCAAATGATTTTGGCATTTTAATTGTAGTTATTACTGAATATTATAATATCCCTGGGATTGTGTGTTTCATGATTGGTAGGTAGTAAAGATAAAAATATCCTTATATTTTAATGCTGCTGTTTAATTTTACATATATATATATTTCAACCTTACTGTATGATGAAATTCAAAATTACACTTAAGATTATCACATTTGTAGATCTTTAGCACATTTATAGTTCTGTAAAGTGTAATTTGAAAGAGAATATTGGTTGAGAGACAAAATAACAAAAGAATTTTCCAATACTGTAACAAATTGTTAGCAAAGAAAAAAAAAAAGAAAAGCATCATCAGACCTTTTAAAGACAAATATTCTTAACAGAGATCTTTAATCTTTCAATTACTTAATATCCATCCCATATAAATTTAAATACTTTAATAGAATTTATTTCATCAAGGTATACAGATGCTGCTGACAGAGTCATATGGAAGACCATATTATTCTATCTCTTATTTTCCTAAATACCTTTTTTGTTGTATTATAAAAATAAATATATATGATTAATAAATTTCATCTGTTTACTTCTGTTATTATTTAATATATACTTGAAGACAGATAAATATGGAAACTTTATATTTTCTCTAAATGTATCCAGATCTGTGTAAATGTATCAAGCACACTGCAGATAGTCTATGAGTAATACAGGACCATGCAGGTTGACAGCTGAAAAATATGGCTAGCTATTTCTGACACTTAAAAAGTGATGGATTACTCATTTTTTTCTTTTTTTAAAGTATACTTATAGAATACTCTAAAGACTTTAATTCATTTTTGTTTTTCAGAATGAGAAAAATTAAGCTGTTCTAGGCAAAAATAAGGAAATAATTCAGCAAAAGAAAATATGTAGAAGGTTCTAGTATAATGGGATAATCCATAAAATCTTAAAATAAGGGAAAAAAGAAACAGTGAACTTCCTTAAATACAAGGCACACTACTATGATTAAAAAATGTACTTTAAGTCGGAATTTGAGAATGTGGGTAGGGAATCTTATCTTAGAAATAAAATAAAAACCAATCTATTTAATCATCATATTTAGACAATCTGCTTTGTGTTTTTTTCTACCTTACCACATTCTCCTTACTCTTTCACCTAGCATGGTAGTCATTTTTTATAGGTTTACAGGAAGCAGCTGACATTTTAATTGAATTTGTACTTAAAAAGCATTATTTTGATAAACTGACTCAGCCTAACTCACTGAAAAAATATATTTGCCTTTTTGTTGCAAGCCTCTCAGAAGATTGTGAGGAGACACCTTAGCTGTGCTCACATTTTTATGTGAACTATATGGACACAGATTGACACACAATATATATGCTCAGTAAAATCTATTTAAATCCAGTTTGCAGTATTCATACTTATTTCTTAGAAGGCCTTGAAAATAGCTCAGCATGTTAATGTAACTATTTTTGTGAACAGACATAAAAATTCTTAAACTTGCAAAATGCACCATTAGCAGTCAGCTGGATACATTTATTTTGTTAGGTTACCACATAGCTATCATAAAATTCTGTTTTAATTAATCATTTCATATTAAATCTAAGGCTATAATCTTATATTCTTTATTCAAACCAATTCTGAAAACAACCACTTTTCTCAGTGCTGTGATGATGAGCTAAGGAACAGTCATGGGTTTATTCCATCCTTCACTCTATGAAAGCTCTTAGAGCAATGGACTCACTCTTGATCTTTCTAGGGATCATCTTCAAAACATAGTAGAGAAATACACAATAGTAAAAAAATTAGAGGGGAAAAGCCTCTAAACTACCACCTACTATGAAATGTGTAGGACACTATAAAGTTAATTAAAAAAATATAGACAAACCCAGCCTTAGAAGATTTAAAAGCACAGTATTTTTCTCCCGCTCCCTCCCCAATACACCCTTCTCACCATAGTCACACCTGACAAGAATGCACTACATGGAATCATTGGTCATTTAGGCAAATCATTCTAATAACATCAGGCACCAACAGTTAAACTATTAAAAAATGAAGCAACAATACAACCCATAAAATTGAGTAAGGTTTTCTAAAAAATAAATATTAATGTCAATTTGGAAGTTACTAGATCACAAAATAGGAAATAAAAGTCAACTATTTCTTTCTCATCTACCATTAAACTCTACATACATCGTTAAGGATGCTACATCTGGACAGATTCTTTTAAGTCCATGAACACTTCCCAAATACTTCTATACAAAGTTACACATCCATGCTGGGTTATTTATCATTGTGTAATGATAATCTGAAGTGGGCCAAGATTTTATTTGCAGGCTATTCAGAGAGGACCTATGTAGCATGAATTTAAAATCCAGGTTGGAAGCAGAAACATAAGGTGTGCAGCCATAGTCTGAACGGGAGACCGTGGTTTAGGAAGTAATGTTTGGAGAATCAGAAGAGAGAGTAGTAGAGAGGACATTTTCATTTTAGAAATGCTGAGGCACAAAACACAGGTGCTTGTAGTACTTTCATACATGAAATCCTTTCTCCTGTATGTGCATCATATGTAAACGTAAAGTCTGTATGCTGCTGACTATTCGTCTCTGGTGTCCAATGAGTATGATTCCAATTCTCCTAATGTCACTGAGAGAGAGAGAAAGAGAGAGGGAGAAGAAAGAGAAGGAGAAGGGGTGGGGGGTTGGAGACCAAGAAAGGAAGAAAAAGAGAGATAAAAAGAGAAAATAAACAATTTACATTTTATAAAAATGAGAAAGAGAAGTAAAGAAAATGTATGCTTAGATACATTAGATATACAACAGGTCACACTTGCCAAACATTGTGTAGTTTAATTGTTAACAGAAATATAAATGATCAGTGAGAGTTTGTTATTTTTTTTTCTTCTATCTGGTCACACAGAATGTATAATAAGTTAATCTCAAGCTTAATGATACAGGAAAAATTTCATATCTAGGTACCTATGTAATGTTCAGATATTTTGTAGGCTGAAGGCTATATATGATTTAGATAGTTATATAAATTTGCAACAGTAGTAGCAAAATGATCAATATGCAAGGCAGAAGGTATACTGTGGATTTCATTTGAGTTCTTGATTTCTCAATAATCTGAAAAAAATGCCATTAGGTTGAACTATGAAATTGTTATTACTATTTTAAAACAATGGCTCAATATAATTGTTTTAATATCTAGTTAAGAAAAAACTCACACGTTCAGCATTTATATTGCACATAGGTAAAAAATGATCTTTGATACAATGGAAAATGTCTGGCCATTGTAATAAACAAGAGGAGCCCTGAGTGACATGATAAGATTGTATTTATTTGACAAAGGTAGTAGTAGTTATAGATTATGTAAGAAGAAAATATGAAGAATAAATAAGGTAAAACTACATTTACATGTAGTTTGTGTATACTACTCTTGTTCACATTATAGATGTGAACAAAAGTAGTACTCATTTTAGAAAGCATTTAAAACATTTTTAAAAGCTATTTGATCCTTTCTAAAAATAATGGTTAAAAATGTAATGTCTAACTTCAAAAAGAACAACAGAGATGATAGAAATGACATATTTAAGGGCTGGGGTTGTGGCTCAGCGGTAGAGCACTCGCCTAACACAAGAGAGGCCCTGGGTTTGATCCTTAGCACCACATAAAAATAAAACAAAGATATTGTGACCATCTACATCTAAAAAATAAAATATTAAAGAAGAAATGACATATTAACCTTAGAAAAGGTGTTATTGATATAGCATTTAAATTTATAATTCCCTAAATAGGACATCTAATTACAGTAATAACCCTAGTATCACTTACTCAATGCTCATTCTTGAAATCAGGTCAAATGTTGTAAACCCTGCTGCCATGAAGTTATTCTTATATTGCCCCATCTTTATGGAATCCAGCCAGTCACCGACTGTGACAAACAAAGGATATTCAGAAACTTCACCAGGAGACTCTGGCATTCTATGGGGAAAACAAAACAAAACAAAAAACATAGGCACCAGACCAAAAGTCAGATAAAGGTTTTCTTTTTCCTTTCACAATATTGTTAACGTCTAGTATTTTTATCCTCCAATTTTCTGTTATGCAAATCAATAATAAAAACCCCATTTGTTGATCAAATCAATCTTTCATCTTTTTTTCTGCTTTTTGCTACACTTGGGTCTTATATTTGATAGATCTTGAAGAAATTAACATCTTCTATCTTTTGTTTTTTTTTTCTCTTGCATAAAGCTGTGTTTTAAAAGTTGAGGAATAACCTGCTCCCTATCCCCACCAAGAAAGAAAGTAGTTACCATTTTTGATCTGCCACTGAATCCATGTACTTTTATCTTTTCCACATTTGTTGGTATAGTTCTACTTTCATGGTGAATTCTTCTATGGTAAATTCATTGATCAAGTATCCACTTATTCGATTTTAAATATTCAATAGGAATTATTATTTATTAAATAGTAATCACTGCTAGGTGTGGTGGCTCATGCCTGTAATCCCAGCTTCTCGGGAATCTTAGGCAGAAGGATTGCAAGTTCAAAGTCAGCCTCAGCAATTTAGTGAGACCCTAAGCAATTCAGTGAGGCCCTATCTCAAAATATAAAAGGGCCGAGGATGTTGTTCAATCCCTGGTATCAAAAATAAAAAAAAAAAAAGTAATTTGCTGCTGTCATAGAACTTGGTTTTGTGAATAAGATTTATATACATTTAAGCATATGGTTTTGTAGCCCAAAGCAAGATAGTATTAAGGCACAAAACAAAACAAAATCAATGTAAAGTTTAATTAATAAGAAAAAGGAATGCAGCATTGGTGGATCATAAAGGCAATGTTATAGCAATCTTTGGTTTCTAAAATCTGAGGCAAAGGCATTTTAGTTGGGGATATTTTGTAATTTTAGTATAAAATAATAGAAAAGTATTATTTTGGAAAAGCTAGGGTAGACAGGTATGTATAAAATGAAGCTAATCTTAGAAATTATAGGAAAAAGAACTCGAAGTTGTGTATTTAAGCCATTCTTGTGATAAACTATATTTTTCTGCTTCTAGAAATACATGGAAATTAATGTAAAAAACATTTTACATGTTTTTAAAAATATTTGGTTGTAAAAGTGATTTTATAGTAATTGATGCATTATTAACCCTATAGGACAATAAATGTATCATTTAAAAATTCTTGGATTAGGACTTATATTATCTAGTCAAGCAGTAAGAATCTTTTAGTGTTTAGTGTTTGAGTCAAATTAGTGTTTTCTAAATAATGAAAATGTTATTAGAAATCAATCACTGAATTACTTGAATTAGAACAGTGAAGGCTAGTCCAATTTTTAAAAAACTGTAAAGAATGAAAGAATGCATGCAGACTTAACTAGAATTATAATTTTAAACATTCATATTTGAAATATTTCAACATGTTTTTAACATCCATATTTTAATTATTTAACCTATAATTAGAAACTGCTAGTACCTTAAAAAACACATGATTAAACCACATGAAGTAAGAATTCCACTGTGAAGCAGAGGGCATATATAAAATACATAACTGTATTGTTCTGTTAAAATATATGGGAGTGGGAGTTAGGTTCTAAGATTAATGCTGAAGGTGAAAATTGAAATTCCCTAACACACACACACACACACACACACACACACACACACATTCTAAGATTAATGGTAAAGGTGAAAGCTGAAATTCCCTAACACATACACACACACAAAGCATTTAAGTTACCCTTAAAGAACTGAATCTTTTAGAAAGACAAGTTGTGCATGGTTTCAACTCCCAAAGACTCTGAAAAGTACGCCCTTGAAATTCAGGAGAGTCCCTAATAAAGGCCTAGAATTAATTTTATTTTTGTATTCCTTGTCCATTGACATCCTTTTTTAAGACTGAGGTTTAGTTGAAAATATAGAGTTGGCAGTGAACAAGGATGATGGGGAAGTACAGGGGTTTTTGCTCTTTACATAATTGGAATGTGAATAAGGTAAGTGTGTGTATCCTGAGAGTACACTGTATTCTATGTTGAGTCTGGTTATCCTTACCAGCAACTGCCATCTTTTTTTTTTTTTTTAAGCACTACTCAATTATATTATCACATTTATTATTTTGGAGACTAAGTCATATTCTTCTATACTGCAAAAATGTTATTGACTATGGGTTGTTTCATTCTAGTTAATATCAGAATGACTCTTAATTTGACCTGAAATAAGAATCAGTTATGTATAAAAGTTGAATAGCTATCACAAATACTTAAATTGTTCCTCTGTTTCTTAAAATTTTCCTAGAGGTGTTCATGTTAATAAATAATATCAAATAAAACTTCATGTATAAAATAGTAAATGATAAAGCTCTTCATGGCAAAATTAGTTATATAAGTTCTTTAACCACAGCATTTCTTGGTGTTAGATAGACTCTAATGTGCATTTTAAATATGTAAGAGAATTTTGTATAGCTTATATATTCATTTCTTAAATTAGATAACTAGTTTCTATGGAATATACTTTAGGAAATAACTGCTGTACTTTATTGACTGAAATTAAATATCAAAATGACTAGGGTACATTTATTAATTATTAATAAAAATAAAATCACATGATAGAAAATTGAATGTCCTTTTTTAAAATAAGATGGCTCTCTTGTGTTTAACTTCTTGTCAAATAAGTTTGTTAAAACTAAATTAAATAAAAGGTGGTGATAATCTCATGAAAACGGAAGGTGGACTAGTAGAATAGAGGAAAGGAACCAGGGGCAGGGAGAAAGGGAGGGAAAGGAGAAATACTAGGAGAATGATATTGGCCAAATTAGATTGTGCATATATTCAAATATTTAACAACAAATCCCACCATTATGTATAATTATCATGCACCAATAAAAAATGAAAAAATGTGAGCAAAATTAAAACACTGTGTTTAAGCAACTTTGCTTTCATATTCCCATGCTGTTCTTGACGCACACACATGTCAGATGACTTTCTCTCTCCTGAGATAATGCTGGAGTAACTCTTGAGCCATCACAATTTCCTTTAACTGGTGAGTAGAAATGTAATTTGCTAATTTTATGTCTTTAATACAGAAAGGTAATGAAAGGACATTCTGTAAACTAAATGACTGAAATGGCCTATTTCCCTGTTGAAAAGCATCCACTATTAGCTCCCAGAATGCTTCAGTATAATAATTCCTTTTCTTTCCACACATCTTTAGTAACCTAGTTACTCTTTGGCCTTTATACGACTGCACTGGCAGTTGATTTAGTAAGGTCAGGATCCCCTCATTGTTCACAGCCACTGTGCAATAACTTTTCTTTCACCTTATCTTATAACGAAGTTGAAAAATGCTCCTATTTTCTGGCTTCAAGGGCTGGGTACCATCAGCCTCACGCGAATTCTCTGGAACATTAACTAATAAACAATAAATGCCCTTTCTTATCAAACGTGTACAATGATAAATTCAGTCTGCTGTTTGCTGAACACATAGAAATTTCTGTTATTTGGTGATTAGTGGGTACTGTCCATCTGAGAAATGTCTTTACAGCAAAACCAGATGCTCACATTTTTAAAAAGTACGTATTATAAAATGGAAAGTGGAAGATCTGCTATTTTTCTCAGAAAAATGAGGAGGGGCTAGATATGTAAATTTCAGGTATAAATTATGGTCATTTATAGAAAATGGCTGGAGTTTAGGTATAACAGGTAATCTTATAGTTGAAGAAGCAGTAAGTGTATACCTGATTCTTCTAAATATGTGTATATAAATGAATATCTCTGATAGAGCGAAGATGTTCCTATTCTAATGAGTCCCTTGAATTCACAATAGTAACTAGTTTTTTAGTTTAGAAGATGCTTACATAGATTATTAGTAGATATCAACACTGTCCTTATAGAGCAAAAATATTTTTATCTTCAAAAGTATTTCATGTTTTACACTTAAATATGATCTAGTAATAAATCTATTTAAATGATTCAATAAAAATTACATTTTCAAAAACACTATTGCAAGTAAAATTCTGTTTTAATATGAAATGATCACATACTTAAAGGGTTTTCTTCCCTTTTATTCTAGCATAAATTCTTTTTTCCTTGCTCTTGTATTTATATACTGTTAGCAGAACTGTACTGATAGTCTATCCTATTTTATATTGCCTTTATTTCACAAATTTTATGGATATTTTTCATGTTTCCATAGTCTTCATACTTAAATGAATATATTGTATTCTATATGTTGATGCTTAATAATTTTTAATTCCCTAAAATTAGACTCAGATTGCTAACAATATTCTTTTTTTTTTAAGAGAGAGGAGAGAGAGAGAGAGAGAGAGAGAGAGAATTTTTAATATTTATTTTTTAGTTCTCGGCGGACACAACATCTTTGTTTGTATGTGGTGCTGAGGATCGAACCCGGGCCGCACGCATGCCAGGCGAGCGCGCTACCGCTTGAGCCACATCCCCAGCCCCACAATATTCTTTTAATATAGATGATCATGTAGTCTTAGAGCATGTATCTTTTTGCTTCAATTGAATTATTTCCCTTGGAAGAAATCCATAAGAAAGAAGAAATTTTTAAAAAGTAAATTAAAACTCCCTGATGGTAGCAACCTTATCTCATATATTTTTCCTTTTTATATAGGCCCAGCACAACACTGAAAGAATTATAAGAGTTCATTAAATGAGGGATGATTTGTACTTGAGTTTTAAATTCTCTATAGAAATGTTTGATCCATGACATGATAGCTGATTCATGATGAATGATCTATTTTTATTTAATTCCATTATGAGAGCATCTGGAGGAATAAGTGCCTGTTGATGTAACTATCAAGCTATTAATGAATATACTGTTTAACTTATTCCTTACATTGTGGAAATGTTTATATATACTCGTTTCCAGGTTTCAGTGGAGGAAGAGGCAGTACAGAGGGTGCCAGGTGTGTATTGTTAAGGGTTCATATGCAATTCTAACAAGACCTAGAACCAGAACAACA